ATCTGATACCTGTTAATAACAGAATATGAGGTGACATTCATTGATTGGTGATGAGTACCAACTGTCATTNAGCTATCAATGATAATCTGATACCTGTTAATAACAGAATATGAGGTGACATTCATTGATTGGTGATGAGTACCAACTGTCATTGACAACCTGATACTTGATAAGCATTTAATATTTTCTCCCGCCTATGGCTATAATAATTATTATCGACGTTGTAGACATTAAATACGATAGCGACTCTCCATGGTGAAGCCGGTAATGGCCAAACGAGTTAGTCACATTCAATTTGCGACAAGCCCACCTTGTGGAACCAAAAAAAAAGTTGTTGGCAAGTCATTTTCAATTAATAGCATTTGACTCCCTCCGAATGCACACACCTCGTGCCTCATCTTAGTGAGTTTGAAATTAGAGGCCTTGCATTCAGTATGCTCGGGACCATATAACTGTTGAATATTCGAGTCATGAAAATATTCTCACTCTTCCCCAAACTCTCAAAAATATTCTCACTCTTCCCCAAACTAGACATTGATGGGATTTTTGAACTATTTTTTTTTTTGTGTACCGATGAGCTCTTGTATAATTGTGTGTTTATGCATGTATTGAGAGGAGTCGATATATTTTTTTTGATTCAACGGTCTGGAATGTTTGAACAAGTTTACACGTACATCGACTAACCTTCTTCCCAGTTTGGTTAAAAATAGATCATCTATGCATGAAATAGGGTATTCATGAGGAATAATCCCTCATGGTCTGGCTCAAGGGACTACAGTGATTTGATTCAAAATGTCTAGATTTATAACTCGCTATTGTTACCACTTGAACTACCTTGGAATCGAGAGAAGTAGATATTGGAGATGCATATTTTGTTTAATCTAAGAGTGGTGGGGGGAAATTAAAAGGGTGTGATGGGTTATAATTTGATCTAATGAGTTCATATTATAGAAAAACAAAAATGTTATTTAGATTGAATTCACTGACTTTGTTTGCTGATCTAATGCATCATGACAATTAAATTAGTAGCGGGTCTTAACTAATGGTGACACCCACGATCAATCCAATGATAAAGAGTGATTATGTTAATGAATAAGATTAATAAATTAGTTTCAAATAATGTTATAAATTTTAGTTTAAATGTAAAAACCATCTTATATGCATATGTGAGTTATGTAGCCCAAACTTCAATTTTTGAATTTTTTCTTCATTTCATATTAAAATTGTATCATGTCAAAATAATTAAAATTCATATGCGATTNCCCCCCCCCCCCCCCAAAAAAAAATTTTGTACATTCAACACATACACTCCATAACATATATTTACACACACGCGTGCACATTATATACAAACTTAAATATACGAATAGTGTCATATCTCAGTGTACGGTAACTTTAATTACTGAGTATTTTGAGTCTATATATATATATATATATGATTTTTTGACAAAATAGTAAATCCTATTGATTTTTGTCTTTATTTCTTGAACTTAGAAACATAGGTTCATTGGAATTCTTCTTATCGATATATGTTTGTTCATCGAAATTTGTCAACATTCGTTTTGCGGCTTACTCTTATGCACCAACGCAACACTGTTGGGTTATCTAGATTTATGCTGACTACTTTCTCAAGCTCAAATATCAATACCTATGGTTTGACACATGATGAATTGTCGTCAATGCGATGCCTCCGATTTGACACAATGAATTNGTGGGGGGAAATTAAAAGGGTGTGATGGGTTATAATTTGATCTAATGAGTTCATATTATAGAAAAACAAAAATGTTATTTAGATTGAATTCACTGACTTTGTTTGCTGATCTAATGCATCATGACAATTAAATTAGTAGCGGGTCTTAACTAATTGTGACACCCACGATCAATCCAATGATAAAGAGTGATTATGTTAATGAATAAGATTAATAAATTAGTTTCAAATAATATTATAAATTTTAGTTTAAATGTAAAAACCATCTTATATGCATATGTGAGTTATGTAGCCCAAACTTCAATTTTTGAATTTTTTCTTCATTTCATATTAAAATTGTATCATGTCAAAATAATTAAAATTCATATGCGATTCATTTACATTTGTGGTGGTCCGTGCCATATATAAATCATACACAACCCAATTTGTATGAACCAATTTACACTCTTTTAATTTAAATTTTAAATTACGTAATTAAAAAAAATAAATTACTATTTGGTATTACAGAGTGTTTTTAAGCACAAAATTCTGCAACCCAAAAAAATAAAAATAGTTTATCCGAAGTATCTATCTCGTACAAATAAATTGTAGTTTTTTTTCTTATATCGGGAATGGGATGGCTATCCTATCCTATGGATCTACCTAGCTAGGTTACCTATTCAACCACGAACCACAAATAATGGCATAGCCATCACATAGAGGGACCAGCAGATCACCCCCAAGATCATGTGGGGGCTCCAACTGAAGCAACCACCTCCCACTTGATCCTGGCTGGAAGAAGACCAGTTTAATAACGGAGCTCATGAGTTTCAAAGGTAAGGACCATCTACCTCATTGCGACGTGCACGCGCGCACACACATATATATACTAAATTAATTAGGCTTTTGAATTTATGGAATGTATTTTTTTCTCAAAATTTCACACACCCATTACAACACACACTCCCCTCCCCCCCCACCAAATTTTGTACATCCAACGCATACACTCCACAACATATATTTACACACACGCGTGCACATTATATACAGACTTAAATATACGAATAATATCATATCTCAGTGTACGGTGACTTTAGTCACCGAGTATTTTGAGTATATATATATATATGATTTTTTGACAAAATAGTAAATCCTATTGATTTTTGTCTTTATTTCTTGAACTTAGAAAAATAGGTTTATTGAAATTCTTCTTATCGATATATGTTTGTTCATCGAAATTTGTCAACATTCGTTTTGCGGCTTACTCTTATGCACCAACGCAACACTGTTGGGTTATCTAGATTTATGCTGACTACTTTCTCAAGCTCAAATATCAATACCTATGGTTTGACACATGATGAATTGTCGTCAATGCGATGCCTCCGATTTGACACAATGAATTGTCCACTCTAATTACGTGTATATATATATATTACAATATTGTTGCCTTTTTTTTCCTACTCTTCTACTAAAGAAAGATGATCCTCCACCTCACGTACCTTAGCCCGAGAGACAAGTTCTTCAATGTGGACTTGAAATGGTCTTGCAAAGCCGAATTAAATATCATATTGTCGTCGTTTTTGGAACTTATTTAATCAAATATAATTTATTTACTAAATTATCATTTGTTTAAAAAAAATAATGTTTTGTTAACACACTTTTCAACGTGTAAGTGTGTTTCGATATTTGAGAAAAAAAAGAAAAGAAAAGGGTATTTCAGTGCTCACGCTGTCACAGCTATAGTAACGCTTCGATTAATTCATATGCATGGTTCTATCTAGTTATTGTTTGACACATAATCTTCTAAGTACAATTGGGCATTGGAATCCAAAAATGTCATGTAATACATGGTAAATGGCCCGATAGTCCATTTACTGAAGGGCTGGGTTGGGCCAGCCCATTTCTCTCTTTGGACATTCAGTTCGAACAGTTGGATTTTAGGCCATACTTTTCAGAGCCCATACTCAAATCAATAGAAAGAGATTCTGTTACACGTACTGTTGGTTTTGCTACATTCCTCGCTTTAAATCTAGACAGTTTTCTGATTTCCCTCAAATTTTGATTATAGGAATCTAAAATGGTAGCATAAACTTATGATATGGACTGGAAGAAATGGACAGGGTGATGAAGCAGTCTAGTAAATAATTTAAGAAATTGGAATGTTTGAACTATTCATGTATAACTATCCGAACTGGTGGTCAAAAGACTAGTAGTAAGTTGTACCCGTTTAAAATTGCATTCGACTCTCAAGGGGTTATCAAACAAAATTCGATTTACGTGAGTCTTGCGGCTTACTGCTTTGGCTTTGGTATGTGCTGTGGTGACAAGCTTTCTCTGCGAGATTTCAGTAACTATGGTTCAACTAAATTTTTCATAGTGGGAAGTCTCTCATAGTCGGACCCAGAAAAAGTAACTATTTATCGGTCGCCTCTCCCACCTTTCCTAGACCTTAAAAACGAAAAAACCATACTCATATATAACTATTTGCACCTTAATTTTCATTTTGCAAAACAAATAAAGCTTTCAATGCAGATTTCTAGTTCATTAAAAAGAAACTATAAAACTTGCATTCGATAAGGAATACGAAAGAGGAGGAGACCAACGAGACTTTAGTCGATGTCCAGGTATGGTGGGAAGGACTGAGGGATCATCGGCTGGCCGAAACAAGCGAGGTAGGGCAAGGGGAAGTAGAATAAGATATAGAGAGGCTGGCCTATGATATAAGTGAAATAATAGATGATTATATTCGCTCCATACCAGCACCGGCACCTTCTAGCGCGATATTTGTTTGGAGATCTTGTGGGAGTCTTCTCGTCAACAGTTTTTTCTTTTGGAACTGCTCGAGCTAGATGACAAAGCTGAGCTAGAAGAAACTTTTTTGATCCTATGAAAGTACCTTACAATCTTTTCTTCTGTTTTTGAGAAAGTCTTCTTTGAAATGTAAGTCAAAGCCTTGAAGGAGTTGTTTTCTCCCCAGTGCGGCCCCCTCGAGGAACTATAAACCATATTAGAGTTGTCTGAACAATTCATTGATAACTTCTTGCACCTTAACTTCCATTTTGAACAACAAATAAACAAACATAATTACACTTCCAATGCAGATTTATTTCTAGCTCATACATAGAGACCACATTGATCAGAGTTATCAACATTTCAGATAAAGCTAAGGGGAAATATAAGTACCTCAAGACTATGAACTTGTTTGCATAATATACATAGAAGTTGAAGTTTACTATCTCCAATAGTCACAAAGTAAAACAGATCTGAAACGAAAAAAGGGAAACACCAATTAACCAACCGACACACAGAATAGCATTTGAAACTCTTTCCATTTTCGCCTTCCAAAGGATGTTACTAAAGTAAGATGTCACCTTCAGCATGCCGGTTATCAGGAATCCTTACATAATACTTCTGTTTCTTATTTTTTATGTGATAAGTACTACACAGTTATCATGTCCAATTACTAGAACATGAATCCCGCAACTCTTCAAGTGGTTACAGGAAGTACCGATCATTGTATACTCAATTGCTATATGCCAAACAACAGATAGAAACTGATAACTCAGGATGTACTAATTGCTGGCTGGGGTTTTCTATCCTGAAGAGAGATTACAGTTTCAAAAGCACCCACCAAAGCCTTAACCTTACTCTTCCTGGTCTGGACAAGCTTGCTAGCTGTCTCTTCAATCACATTATTAAACAAACTCTGAGTATCTTTTCTTCCTTCCACAATTTGGTGTCGAAGAACAACTTTCACAGATTCGGATTTAGTACCTTTTGACTCGCCATCACTAACTACATCCCTTAAGCTTCTCGTTTTGGTAGCAGGCTTATCATTTTGGTTCTCCGATAGTATTTTTTGCTGCCTAAATCTGAGTCTCCTTGGACTCCTGTTTATGCTTTGGATGTCAACCACCTTTCCTCTCCTGAATTTGAGCTTTTGGGGTGAGCAGTCTCTATCTTCTGAGATAATCCTTCCAACTCTCTTAGGCCTGCTCTTGGTATCAATTTTTGGATCTGGAATTTGTTTTTCACTTTTGCAAGTACGGATGGAACCATTTTGGGTACTACGCAAGGACTTTGATGAAAGCAAGATCAATGAAGACGACTTTTTGGAAAATGACGATGACTTCTTGTTAGAAGTAGCATTCTGAGTACGCCTCAAGTCTTTGTTATTTGAGGATAGAGGTGCAGATGAAGATAATTGAGTTGTGAATGGTTGAGGATTTCTCAGTTTTTCGTTCTCTGGAGATGGCGGTGAAAGGGAGACATCTGCACCAATTTGGCCACCTCCATTCTCTGCAAGGCCCATGGTTTGATTCTCAGCATTCGGTTCAATGACATACAAAGTCTTCTCTGGAACTTTTTCATAGCTAGGTTGCTCAGTCTCAACTTTTTTGGCACTGGTTTCAATCATCGGATGGGACATGTTTTTTGGATTCCTAGAGTTTCCAGGATTTGTGCTCAAAGCTTTCTTCACAGGAGGCTTGGGAGATGGATAAATAGTTGGTGGCACCTTATCATTCTTCTTGCTCATTTTGGAGGCCCCCATCACATTGCTTATTTTGATTTCACCATTCGTTCTCGAAACTCCCACTGGACTCACTTGAATAGCTCCCATTCCCTTTGGTACGATAATTTCACTGAGTCTTCTGCTTGAATGATGCGGTGGAGAGAGAGAAGATGCCTTTGATTGCAAAGGCTTCAGTTTCAAATCAGTTGCACGTTTTGCAGATGCATTTATCCCCTTACCAGTTGATGCAAACTTCTTATAAGAGCCAGCTTCTTTCTTGGTAGACGCTGGAACTACTTTCTTTATAATTTCGGTTGTGTCAAGTGTTGGGCTCTTGAACTCCGGTGAAGGCTTGGGACAGACAACTGATTTCTTTTTTATCTGCACTAAATTTATAGCTTTAGCTGGGTTGTTGCTTTTATCTGGTCTTGCTGTGAATCTTTTGGGCATGGGACTCCTTGCTTTGGAAACATGTTCTATGCCGTATTTACATAAGTCGTGGCAAGAACCAGTAGAAGCTCTGAGATAATTTGGTAAGACCTGTGCTCTGCGGATTTGGATCCTTAAGTTGCCAGTCGACTCCCTTCTCCTATAACCAATTTCAGCCTCAATTTTCTCAAGATCTATGGGGATATCAAGTGCCACCTTGTCCATTGTAAGAGAGTACTGAACAAAATTACAAACTAACAATCCTGCAAGGGAACATGAAGTGTTTTCTTTGAGAGAGAGAGAGAGAGAGAGAGAGAGAGAGAGAGAAGCAAGATAAAGCACAGTGTTTTCCTTTTCTCTTAAGAATTCAAAGCCAAGGATTTACCAAGACCCGATGTAGTTGTAAAGCAGAACAATTATATTGAGCCCTCAAACATCACAAGGTTTCCATCCTGAACATCAACAAACCAGAAATATTTATAAGATCCAATAGTAGTCATTAGTCATAAACTTCCATGGGAGCTTTTATAAGCTCGTGTTCTGCAAATCAAAAACCAGGACTAAAAGGCTTGTGATGCATGGTTTAATACTGCTATGGTAACTGAATCTGTTCATCAACTTCCGGCATATGATTTGTACTGAATCCTAGTATTTTGGTTTTGGGGGCAGGGGACATGAAGGTGCCTATCTATTCAAAATTCAACTTTGCATTCACATGCCATGTCAAATAGTGTACAAAGAATACATAATGAACTTACAATACACTAACACCGACTTGTTTCAATGCTTCATCCAATCATATCACAAGTTTCTGATCTTATTTCCTTTGCGTTCAATTTTTTGTAAAATTTTCTTAATGGAGTAATTCTGTTTTTAATTTTTGATGGAATTCAAATATGGGTTATACTTGGGCTGTCGTTTGCAGGACTTATGGCAAAGGTTGGACTATCTAAGTAGGGAAGAAAATATCAGATCGATCATTTGAGGTTGTTTCTAATAAGACAAATACAGAAAAGGGAAGACTCAACATACTTTTTCTTCAGTTTGCAATTCTTCCTCCATCTGAACTGTTCCATTAAAATAAGCACAAAGTTTTACCATCAAATAATTCCATGAATACAACTTTAATTAAAAAAATATCAAATTGAATGACAATCCAAACTATCCATCACAATAAGAGAGAAGAAGATGAAATCGCAGAACATCTCGCTGAGAAGGAAATCGTAGTTGTATCCTTTAGGTTGAAAAAATCACTGAGAATCATGACTAAAACCATTTGATTATGTACTCCACTAGAGCCATCATGGAGATAAATGATCATTCATTCAAAAAATAACGGAACATACACTGCATGATAATGGAAAAATTCTTTACCTTTTTCTTGATTTTTTTGTCCCTTGATTCCTTTAAATTCAGAATACCAAATACAGACGGTTCCAAAACAATTCTTACATGATATCATGCAAGTAAATCCATAAACAAAAAGAAGCGATACACAAGCTGTCCTAGTCTAACAAACAGCAACAAGACTTTCATCTAGAAACAAAACAAAGTGAACCAGTTTCCATTCCACTATCATGGAAATAACAGCTTATTTCTAAGTCTACTTTGCTCTTGACTCTCATGAAGCACTGAGAGACTAGCCTGGCCCATAAAAAATCCTACAATTTACTTCACCTAGTAAGGAAAAAACCCGAAAAATTTCAACCCAAAACATGAACAAAAAAATGACCAAATTTGAGGTCCAAAAACTAAAATTAATCCATCAACTACCCAAACNACTTCACCTAGTAAGGAAAAAACCCGAAAAATTTCAACTCAAAACATGAACAAAAAAATGACCAAATTTGAGGTCCAAAAACCAAAATTAATCCATCAACTACCCAAGCAGGCACATTCCTTTTCCAAAAGAGCGCGGACAATGGACATTGAACCATTATAAACAAGCGAAATAAAACAGCAGAGAGAAAAAAAAAATCAGAATGGAGAAAGATGTTTTCAACCATGGACCTTCATTGAACAAATATCACAAATCTTCCCCTTTTATTTCAATAAATCCTTGAACTCTACAACATGATCTGATCCATCCAGCATCAATCCAATATCTACAAATTAACTGATTCCATAAAGATTAAAATAAGGAAAACATGTCTGGATATAGAGCAATATCCTTTCATTCTATCAATCAAGGAAAGTAATCTGAAATTTACATCACTGGCCTCGGAATCCAGCATAATCCTTTTAATCTGTCCTTAATATGCCCACAAACAATTCAGAGACCAAAAGAACTTAATAAATCCATCTACCCCCCAAAAAAACTCAATTGAATACATNCGGTTCCAAAACAATTCTTACATGATATCATGCAAGTAAATCCATAAACAAAAAGAAGCGATACACAAGCTGTCCTAGTCTAACAAACAGTAACAAGACTTTCATCTAGAAACAAAACAAAGTGAACCAGTTTCCATTCCACTATCATGGAAATAACAGCTTATTTCTCAGTCTACTTTGCTCTTGACTCTCATGAAGCACCGAGAGACTAACCTGGCCCATAAAAAATCCTACAATTTACTTCACCTAGTAAGGAAAAAACCCGAAAAATTTCAACTCAAAACATGAACAAAAAAATGACCAAATTTGAGGTCCAAAAACCAAAATTAATCCATCAACTACCCAAGCAGGCACATTCCTTTTCCAAAAGAGCGCGGACAATGGACATTGAACCATTATAAACAAGCGAAATAAAACAGCAGAGAGAAAAAAAAAATCAGAATGGAGAAAGATGTTTTCAACCATGGACCTTCATTGAACAAATATCACAAATCTTCCCCTTTTATTTCAATAAATCCTTGAACTCTACAACATGATCTGATCCATCCAGCATCAATCCAATATCTACAAATTAACTGATTCCATAAAGATTAAAAGAAGGAAAACATGTCTGGATATAGAGCATTGTCCTTTCATTCTATCAATCAAGGAAAGTAATCTGAAATTTACATCACTGGCCTTGGAATCCAGCATAATCCTTTTAATCTGTCCTTAATATGCCCACAAACAATTCAGAGACCAAAAGAACTCAATAAATCCATCTACCCCCCAAAAAAACTCAATTGAATACGTNTGGAGTAATTCTGTTTTTAATTTTTGATGGAATTCAAATATGGGTTATACTTGGGCCGTCGTTTGCAGGACTTATGGCAAAGGTCGGACTATCTAAGTAGGGAAGAAAATATCAGATCGATCATTTGAGGTTGTTTCTAATAAAACAAATACAGAAAAGAGAAGACTCAACATACTTTTTCTTCAGTTTGCAATTCTTCCTCCATCTGAACTGTTCCATTAAAATAAGCACAAAGTTTTACCATCAAATAATTCCATGAATACAACTTTAATTAAAAAAATATCAAATTGAATGACAATCCAAACTATCCATCACAATAAGAGAGAAGAAGATGAAATCGCAGAACATCTCGCTGAGAAGGAAATCGTAGTTGTATCCTTTAGGTTGAAAAAATCACTGAGAATCATGACTAAAACCATTTGATTATGTACTCCACTAGAGCCATCATGGAGATAAATGATCATTCATTCAAAAAATAACGGAACATACACTGCATGATAATGGAAAAATTCTTTACCTTTTTCTTGATTTTTTTGTCCCTTGATTCCTTTAAATTCAGAATACCAAATACAGACGGTTCCAAAACAATTCTTACATGATATCATGCAAGTAAATCCATAAACAAAAAGAAGCGATACACAAGCTGTCCTAGTCTAACAAACAGCAACAAGACTTTCATCTAGAAACAAAACAAAGTGAACCAGTTTCCATTCCACTATCATGGAAATAACAGCTTATTTCTAAGTCTACTTTGCTCTTGACTCTCATGAAGCACTGAGAGACTAGCCTGGCCCATAAAAAATCCTACAATTTACTTCACCTAGTAAGGAAAAAACCCGAAAAATTTCAACCCAAAACATGAACAAAAAAATGACCAAATTTGAGGTCCAAAAACCAAAATTAATCCATCAACTACCCAAACAGGCACATTCCTTTTCCAAAAGAGCGCGGACAATGGACATTGAACCATTATAAACAAGCGAAATAAAACAGCAGAGAGAAAAAAAAAATCAGAATGGAGAAAGATGTTTTCAACCATGGACCTTCATTGAACAAAAATCACAAATCTTCCCCTTTTATTTCAATAAATCCTTGAACTCTACAACATGATCTGATCCATCCAGCATCAATCCAATATCTACAAATTAACTGATTCCATAAAGATTAAAATAAGGAAAACATGTCTGGATATAGAGCAATATCCTTTCATTCTATCAATCAAGGAAAGTAATCTGAAATTTACATCACTGGCCTCGGAATCCAGCATAATCCTTTTAATCTGTCCTTAATATGCCCACAAACAATTCAGAGACCAAAAGAACTTAATAAATCCATCTACCCCCCAAAAAAACTCAATTGAATACGTCAGACACTTTTAAACATCAATCATTTTACCATGCAATTGAGAGACAAACCTATCAAATCCTGAAAAACCCCAATACATAAAAACACTCCAAGGACCCAAATCAGATCATCAAGCACTTGTTTTGCAATGAAACAAACACCCGTGCCACAAACAAAACAATGATCAACCCATATAAAATCAGCTTTAAGAAAAGGAAATAAAACCAGTCAAAGAAATGAGTTCATAGCATATATATATACCTT